AAAAGAGTCGCGATTTGACCAGAAAATCAAAACCAAGTCCGCCGCAACTTTGCGGAAAAGTGTGAGCTTTGGATTTCCAACTAGAAATGGTGCGACATTCAATGACGTCAGCTCAGTCCCCTGAATGCATAAGCCAGGAAAAGCATATCACTGAAGATCATGACAGTGCAGAAATGAGCATTTGGTGTCACTGAATGAGGCGTGTAGTTGACGTAGAGGATGAGGATCATCTGTGATGGTGACTTTCCCATCTGCGATAGTAACGGTGTAGCCTCGATCACATCCGCGGTCACGCTCGTGATGATCAGAAGCTTTGCCTCTCCCTTTGCCTTTGTCACGCTTGCTGGTATTGGCACGATTCGGAGGCGGCCCTTTTGGGTTCTACCGGTCTAGCTGCTGCAGCCATCTCTGCTGCGGTAACCGGACGGTCACCGATCCCAATGTGTCCATGGGACAGATAGTCTCCATATCTCTCCAGGGTGCCGACTACGTACGTAGAGTATCCAAGTTCTCTCTATTCAACTTTGCTGTGTACTTCGCAGGAATCACGATGTCGTAGTTGACGAGCAGTTCAATGGTTGTGGTTGTTGTAGCCGCAATACCAGTTATCATCGTCACTGCCACCGGATCAATGTACAAGTAATCGTGAGATCCTGTGGGCGGTTCTCTGAGCATTGCGAACATGGTCTTGCCCGTGACCGCTGCAATGAGCGATTGCAATATGGCATAGCAACTTGCATGCATTTCCTGAGGAGTCTGATCTTTGCCATCAAGATAGGTCGACGGATCAAATACTTCCCGTTGTGATTGGTTCGGAATTTCCGAAATAAATATGCCCCTGCAGGATCAGCAGGATTTCCAAGACTTCGGGTGTGGACAAGACTTCCTGGTCGGTGACGTCTCGGGAAACTTTCGTGACCGGGCCAATGTCGCAGAGGGTTGGCCACTTACCAAGAACATCCTGTCGATTGCCACTTGCAAAGTTTGTAAGCAATTGATCGTACGAAAGTGTGGTCCATCTCATGGTGTTGACCCACGACTTGTACACGCAATGCACCACGACATAGGCCATGTAGGCGCAGGTAAGGGATCTTGCATCGATGCAGTATGCAGCCGGAGAACTGGGGCAGTAGGTAACTTGCAAAGACATTCTTGCTTGAGCAAGAGTTGTGTCGATGATGTGCGCTTTTCTTGCAAAGCAACGGACGTCGCTCTGCAATCTCATCTTGGTACTTATTCTCATCAAGATTTTGTTGTTCTTCCTCAGGTTCGACTTCATCGCCAATCATGTGGTTGTCAACTTCCATCTCGGGTTCAGCCATAGTTCGAACATCGTCATCTTCGTCATCATGAATGTTGACCGTTGAAGATGTGGCAGTCGAGCGAAACAGGCTGGTACCAATTCGATGCAAGATGGACAAAGTCTGGTCCTCACTACCGCATCCCTGGAATTGCGAGCTTCTTCTTCAGGTCGCATGTTCTTGATCGCAGGTAGTTCTCTTTTGCGGCATCATGAAGCCCATCAGTTCGCATAGTACACTCATGAGTTTTCGAGGACATCGTTCTGCACGAAAGCGAATCGTGATAGGAGATGGTTCGTTTGTCATGGCCACTGCGTCCTCGAGTTCATAATCAAGAATCTGTTAGATAGTCTCGAAGGCATAAATGTCTTCCGGGTCAGGAATGCAAAACCAAACCTCCTTGACAAACTTCAACGGAACTGGACGACTGACGATCATCATGCCGCTTTCTGTCAATGTGCCTCCAAGCCGTACGAGATCTGGGGTTGGAACGTAGAGAAGCGCCAAAGGCATGGACCTACTCCCATGCACTCTGTACTTGGTGATGTTGTTGTGTCTGTCCCTGGGAGCGAATACGCCAAAATGGCTGTGCAGCCTTCCTGAAGAACTGTCAGCAACATCCGTCCTCGGCAAAATGCCATTTTTGACGATGGATCGCAAGTTGTGGTAGTCAGTGCTGTGAAAGGATCCCTTGATGGTATCGACCAGCGACATTGAGGATGAATCGCAAACTTGTCAGGGTTCGTCCTCACATGCAATTTGTCGGGATTGTTCGAAGTCGAATGACTGCTAGCTGGACGGACCGCCCACGGTCGAATCCAAATGTCGTTGTACTCAAGATCTTCACGCGTCATCCGGGAAGTCCCAGGAGAATTCCTTGCTTCGAAAGCTTGAACATCACGTGTGACGATGCCGTTGGAGAAGGCCGCTGTCTCTGCAACTGCCTCATCGCCATTCGGTGGGTCCATAACTCTGACACCCAAGAATTGAAGTCTGGTCTTCGCGTTGTTGGGCTTGCAAGCGTTGAGTAGATTCCCTTGGTCGATCATTCAGCTGGCCCTTGCACCGTCGTTGATCGTGTGGATCGAGAGGGTCATCAATCTTTCGGAAGTCATGTGCCCAAAGAACATCCATTCCCATGATATCATCGATATTGAACCCCTCCTTCTTCGTCACACGGAATAGTAGATTGGTGTTCCTTTGATCGATACGAAATCACGTGTTCGACCAATGCGATGGCGTAGGCCCGACTGAATGCAAGCCAAAGCCCAATTTGCCTCCCTCTTGCGGTCAAATCCAATAAGCCGCGGGGCCTGCGAAGATTGAACCAAACCCCAATCTTCATGGACAAATGGGCATCCGGCATGCCCTTGTAGGCATGCTCAGATCCTTTTGATCTTCGCTAGTGAGTGCTTGGTGCGGTAATATGCCCGTCATGCGTGGAGTCCGCTCGCGCAGCGTTCAATTGAAAAAATCTTGTTGGTGTTGGTGCTGGTGTTGTTGACACCCGGGCTTACAAAGGGGACTGGGACGAAAAGTTGCTATTATGGCTGAAAAGGCTAGAAACTTGCACGCACCAAGGAAAACAAGTGGACGTAGTATAATTGACTAGTGATAATTACGATCAGCATTCATGCCAATATACTGTTTGTTGTGATACTGAGGGTCACTGCGTATTCATGCCTACGATTGTTCATATTGCTCACTAATGTTCATCATCTATGTATGACTCAAAGAGGGATTTGTTACTCGTATGATTTATTCAGTATTATTACGAACACTGTGAGGATGATTACTGCTGATTGTGCTGATTGTGGGTTTTGTTGCTGTTCCTGATATTGTTGATCTTGTTGCTACTGCTGTCGTTTGCTGTTGTTGTTGGTCACAGTGCTTGTAAACAGGCTGGCGGTTTGGAGTTGATGTTACAGTTGGAAGATTGAAGACCAAAGGAGCGACAAAGACCAACTCAAAGGAACGACACAGGTCAACAGAGAGAGAAACCTAGAACATTTACAGCTTCAAGTACAGGTATTGCATGCAACACATGCAACAAGCGACGATATACAACATTCACTAAGCACTTCGAGAAAGTAATATTTCACATACGAAATCAACATCAACAGCAGCATCCAAGAATACTATGTATTACCAGAATGACCATTATCAAACTGTTTGGTTACATACTGTACCCGCCCGCTTGCTTGTGATTTGATTGATGCTTGTTGTTGATAACCATCCATTTCCGGTTACATGAAAGGCAGCGAACAGGATATCAATGAGATATTTGCCACCTCAAGTATGGATGCCGTTTACCTGGCCAAGCTTACGAAGGACATGGAAATTCGATATTAAACAATATATGACTGTGGGTCCAAACCGTTTGGATTCGGGTTTATGCAGTGTATCACTTAGCCAAAAACTATTTACCTAAGCATTTAATATTGTAAATATTCAACCGTAGTTCAATCAGGTAAATAAACCCTAAAGGTATCGGGCTCATATATACACACACCCACACACACACATATATATATATGTGTATACACATCTCTCTTTCTTTCTTTCGCCAGGGCTGTGGACACATCATCTCTCTCTCTCTCTCTCTTCTTCNNTGTCAAACCCCCCGGCCAGTTGGCCCCCCAATATGTTATTGGGGCTTTTGGAGGGAGGAAAACGTCTGTTTTGCAGTACTGCAGTGCTTTGGGGATTGACCAGAGCAACAAACTGGAATAAGTGAATTGAACATTGTTCCCCCTGGCACTGCATGTCGGGACACCACGACATTATCACGGGGCTGCTTCTCAAAACGACACAATGTAACATGATCTCTTGTTCCCCGTGCGAATGTCCAACCGAATTCTTGAGGATTTTGGATTCCCCCAGGAAGTCACAGCAGCATCGGATAGCAACCAACATACTCAACAGACTGCATACGACGTAAAAGGTGCTTCGCGGGAGTTTCACAAGTGCACTGGCTGTGTGTTCGCACGAGCTTTTGTGCTAACAACCGCAAAAGTTGCTGCTGAGCCCCCGGCCAAGAAAACACCACACTGAGGTCCAAACCGCGCAACCCAAGTAAGCAAAACTCACACTGAGACAGTAATGGCCTGAGGCTTGGTTCGGCATCACGGTTTGAGCAGCCTGCTTCCTTCATGTCCCCCAGCTTTGTGCAAAACAATAAGACAGCACTATCTAGTAGGCCTAAAGGCATAGCATGTGTAGACCATATGACTGGGGGGGAACATGGACGTCAGCAAGCCTACCCATTCAGCGCCGGTGCAGCACAAGAAATCGTTTCAGGCATACACAGAAGTTCATCAAGCTAGACACCCCCCAACAATCTGAAAAACCAGTGTGACCAAGCCTGTGCGAGCACTAGGTTGAAGGATATGGGAGGCCTCAAGCTTTGCGCAGAAGCATCTAGCCTTGCTTCTCTATGCGATGCGACATGCCAGGAGCGTTCTGGAAAAGAAAAGTAACAGCACTAGACAAGCCCCAGTACCCAACCTACCATCTTCGACGCTCCAGCTTGTCACCTAGGTGTGACTGTGGTGCAAAACTTCGCCTCATTCTCTGTCCCCCTCGTTGTAGACTAAAACAAAGCAGCTAACCCTAGAGCAAAGAACTAAGCTAGTGCACATCATCGATGGGACAGAGGGCTCACTTCGGGCATCTTTCAGCTCAGCTTGTCGTGGCTTCTCAGTCCCCCACGTAGTTTGGTTCCCCGTCATCACAGATCGTGGCCATGAACATGCTCTGCCAGCACTCGTCGTCGTCTATGGCTCGCGTCCGAACTCGGGCTTCGTGGACGCCGAAGTGGGCGGCTACGTGGCGAGGTGCTTGTAGCGCCGTCCCTTGCTGCAGAGCGTGCCGCGTCTCCCAGCCCATGGTGTCTTTCTGCATACCACCACTGGTCAGGCGTCCATTCCCCCGGTCCTCCTTGGTGCTGTTCCGGGGTGGCAATGGCAATCCCCCGAACCAGGTTGACAGCCGCCTGTTGTATCGTCGGTAGGACTCGCGTAGGCCAGTGGGGAATCTGCTGCAACAGTCCCCGCAGTGTTTCGACCGCGTTGTACCACTCTGGTGCCACACCATCAGCGCATAGTAGTGGAGAAGCTGTTCCCCCCTGGCTCTGTCCCAGCACGTCCGCGGGGTGTGTCAGGGTGTCCCCTGAGATCAGTGCCTCAAAGGCTTCTGCCACAGCGACCAGTCGCGCCCAGGTTGTGGCATCCCCCGGTTGGCCCTGCAACATCTGATCGAGGATCTCGCGGAGCGGTGTGAGGACGGGTGGGAGTTGCACATGCACTGCGATACTCCCCCGATCCAAGGTCGCCAGCCATTCTATCAAGGCAGCGACTTGGGAGGAAACCATGGCATAGGGCACAACTACGCTCCCCCTTTTACTTAGCAAGCTCTTGGCTAGACTACTGAGCTGTTGTGCTGCACTGATAGCTGCTGCTGCTTTTGTCGTCCCCTGTGGCACGGTGTGTTGCTCCCCCGCTTCAAGTTGCAGGGCAGTGGGGGTGTCCACCAGGAGATCGATCAGTGCTGTGTCTGCCGCTTGGGCGATCGCTTCTGCTTGCGACCCCTCGTGCTGTTCTGCGATCCTTCGGATTTCAACGAGCTTTTGCTCGACCCGTTGCCACGAGCGCGTCATGGGTCTGTGGTCGCTGCTTCCTGAGCTCGGCTCTCCCGTTTGTGCGGGGGCCCCCCCGTCTCGCGTTGGAGGGGTCGGCGTTCGGAGGGAGACCAGGTGAGCTCCGCTGCTGGCATTGCTGCTGCTGCTAGTGATTGCGACCGGTGGCTGCATGGTCCAGGTCGCCTCTGCTGGTGGTGTCTCGATGGGTGTGGTGGGCGCTTGCTGCTGCGTGGCCGAGGTCGCTGCTGCAGGCTCCTCGTTATGTGAGGCTTCAGTTGTTGCAGGTCTGGTGGTAGCGTGTGTTTGCACGAGGGCTGCAGTGTCCTCCTCGTCAGGGTCTGCCGAATTTATGGGCGACGTTGGGGTAGTGGTGGGTGTGGTGCTCTCGGGGTGGCTTCCCGCTGTGGTGGCTGTTGTTGTGTCGCCATGTCCACCCCTTCTGCTGAGGTTGCGTCCGTCGCTGAGCATGCTGGCGAGTGATGGTTCTGTCGGCGTCCCCGACTGCTGCTGCGGCGATGTGGCTGTCTGTTGCTGGGTTTGCTGTGTCTGCTGCGGCATCGGCTGCTGTGGCTTGTTGGGTTGCGACTTTCGGAGCTGTCGCCCGTCTGCCAGTGTGTTTGTGTGTGTGTGCGTTCGGGTACTGCGGGCTGCACCGGCTTGCTACGGGCCTGTGGGTAGTAGCTTTGTGGTGTCTCGTGTGAAGAGCTCGAGCCGGTGCTTGTGGTTGCCTCCCCGGCGTGTTGTCCCCCTGGCTTGTCCGTGGAGCTGCTGCTGGCCTGGTTGTCCCTGGCCTCGCCTCGTTCTGGGATGCTAGGGAGGTGTCCTCTTCCCCGCGTCCCCGCTGCTGCAGTGTCTTTGTTGCGGGCTGCTGCTGCTAGGGTTTCACGGCGCCGTTGTCTCAGCCGTTGGATGGGCGGAGGGCAATTTGGGTCGAGGTGTTCGACACGGATTTGCCACCCAGTGAGACTCCTCTCGAGTAGCAGCCTGTCCCCCGGTGAGAGGAGCATAGTGTCTTGCTCATAATTGGGATGGGGGGGAGTAAGCTCGATGGTCAGGACCCAGAGATCCTCCGTGAGGAATTCTAGGATTCCTTCGAGTCCGATGGGTAGCGGGGGGGCGTCGTCTATGTCCCCGCCTTCTCCTTCCACCACAGCCAAGGGGAGGCCCGCCAGCTTTTTAGCGCTCTTGCCTTTATCGGCTCGAATCGCCAAGTGCCACCGGCCCTCACCGAGTTGACTAACCTCCGCCTGGGAGTTTTCAGACAGAGGCACGTGTGGCGGGGAGTCCTCCACCTCTTCAAACCACTGGACTGGGGAGTCGTCGTCCCCCGCTGCCGACTGTGCTGCTTCTGCTTGTTCTGTTGTCGTGTAGTGGGTGTTTGTTGGTTGTTCCACGGGTGGAGTGGTGTCTGTGGGGGTGGTGGCTGCTGTGGTCCCCTCCGGCTCGTTGCTGCTGGCTGCGGTTGCTGCATTCGTGTTGGGGGGCTCTCTGGCATCCTCGTCCCTGCTCGGTGTGTCGACATGCTTGGGCTTCTTGGTAGGGGGACGTTGGTCTCGGGCTGGGAGAGATGTTAGATGCTCGACTGTAAGTCTCCATCCTCGGCTCGTGAGTTCTATCATGAACTTGTCCCCCTCGACTGCCAGCATGGTGTTGGATTCGTATTCATCCAAGTGGGGGGTGCCAGTGATGATGAGGAGCCAGGCGTTCCCCTGCGGCATGGGTGCTGTGCGTCCGATCGTTCCCCTAGTGAAGGGCGGGGCTTGGTCCAGGGGGCCCGTAGAGGATGGGCAACCTTCCATGCCGTCCGTCTCCACTGCTGCTGCTGCTGCTGCCAGGAGGTTGCTGTGCTGGAGGGATGTTGATTTCCCAGCAGCCGTGAGTCAACGCAGTGAACTCTGTCGGTGCTGAGGAGGCTGTCGGTAGTGTGAAGTCCGGCGGGAGCTCTGGTGGAGTTTGGAATGCTGGCTGTGTCGCCGCCCCCTCCGCTTGCGCTGCTTGCGTACTGTCCCCGCCCGGCAGCGTTGTAGGGGGGCCCTGAGTTGGGGGGGGTTGTGTGCGATCCCTGGCCAGCTGGACCAGTCCACCTCTGTATGCTGCGCTGGGGCTGTGTGTGGCTGGTGTGTTTCCGAGCTCCTTGTCTCGCAGGCTTCAGCTGCTGCAGGCTGTTGCCCCCGTTGTGTTGGGACTGTGTCGCGGGGCAGCATGTGCTTGTTGAGGAGCGCAGCGAAGCGCTCTTTGGCGTGGGTGTCTGCTTTTGTGCCGGTCTGGGTGTCAGAGGGGGTGGGGGTGGGTGTTCCCGGCCGTTGCTGCTGTCGCTGCCGCTGCTGGCTGTGTTGGCTTCTGGGGGGGGCTGCGGTGTGTAAAGTATCCCCCAGCCCGGTCCCCCCTGTTGCTGGGGGGGGGGGGGCGCCATTGCCGGTTGCCGCGCTTGTTATGCTGTCTGTAAGTGTACTTGCCTGCTTTATTCCGCACCCTTTGCGAGCCACCCGCCCATCCGCAGTTGCTTCGGTGCGTCGTGTGGAGCTTGTGGCTTGTCCGCGTCCCCCCCAGGAGGGATCGCGCTCCCAGGGGGGTTGCTTGCTGGCTTGTTGTTGTCCCTCGCTGTGGGTGGCTGCGGCGCTCATTCGGTCGGTTGTGTCTGCCGATGGTGTTGCGTCCGGCATGCTCGATGTGGCAGCTGCGGATGCTTGCGGGGGTGGGCTAACTTGCTCGGTTGTGTTAGCCGGGGGTGTGGCCGCCGTCATGCTCGGGGGGTCTGCTGCGGGTGTTTGTGTAGGTGGCTGTGTTTCGTCCGCTGTGGTCCCCCACTGTACGTCCCAGTAGGTGTCAGCAGTTGGAGCTGCAGTGGCTGCATCGTCGCTGCTGCGTCGTGGTTTGCTGGCTGTCTCTGCTTCTGTCGCGCTCTCGCGCATGCCTTCAGTAGAAGGCGGTTCCACGTTCTGTGCTCCGCTGCTCGTCGTGTCATGTTCTGTGGGTGCTGTTGCCTCGGCCGGGTATGTGTTTTGCTGCGGCTGCTGTTGCGGGGAGCTGTGGTCCGCCGTGTTCACTGTGGGGGTGGCGTCCTGGCTGCTGCTCGTGGTGGGCTTCGCCATCCCCTCTCGTTGGGCGGAGATCAGGGGGGATTCGGCTAGGAGGGTGGCAGCTTGTTCTTGGGTTAGCGACCACGGCGGGTTGTTTGCGAAGTTCGAGTTCGGATGTGGGCCACGTACCACTGGTCATCTGCTGGGACTGGTGTGGCTGATGGGGATGGCGAGGTGATTCCGGTGGGGTGGCCCATGGATCAGTGTCTGGATCGTATCGCCGTGCCCAGAGTCCCTGAGCTTGGGGCTCTGTCGGGGCGGTCTGTTGTGTTGCTTGCGCTGGTGTTTGGTAGATTGGCTGTTGTTGTGGTGTCGATGGCTGGTGGCGCTGCTGCGAGGGGGGGTAGCTGTGATGTTGCATGCCTGTCTGTGGGAGGCCTGGCAGGGGTGCGAGGGGTAGGCTGTTGTCGGCAGTAGCTGCTGTTGCTGCGGTGGTGGTGGTTGTTGTCCCCCGTGTGTTGCCGGCTGTGGTAACATGTGGATGTTGTGTTGAGGCGGTGGAAAATGGATAGCAGGCTGTCCCTGCGGGGTTTGGTGTGTTGTGGCCCCCGGGGCTAAAGAGTAGCCACCCCAGGATGTCACCATGCCTCCATGGATTGCCGGATGGGTAGCTTGCCATTGGAACTGGGTGGCTGCCATGAAGGTGTATCCCCCAGTGTTTTGCTGGTTCGCGACCCATGGTGGAAGCCACGGGGTCATTGGCACAGGGTTGGATAGCATTCCCCCGCTGGCTGCTGGCCATGCGCCGGCCGGGTGGATGGGACCACAGTTCTGCGGCTGCTGCTGCTGTTGCTGCTGGGGAGGGAGAGCCTGGGTTGTGTGTGCTTGCTGCGTCGAGGAGTGCTGTTGTGGTGCTGTCGCCAGTGCTGGATCGGTCGTTCCCGGCTGCTGCTGGTTCTGCGGCGGTTGTCTCGAGTTAGTGTCCCCTGCTGAAAAGTGCTGGTGGTTCATCCCCACCGTGTGGGTGAGGACTGTCAAGGTCCACAGGGCTGATGCTGCCTGCTGGTGCATGTTGCGCGGTCTGCGGCTGCGACAAGTTCTGTGACAAGTTACCTCTGTTTTCTATCTGTCTAGCTGTCTACGTAGGAGGGAGCGATGAGTACGATCAGCATGTGAAGTAGCGATCGAAGTACAGGCGTGCGAACATGCAGTACACATAGAAGTGGGTCAGGTAGTACCGGTAGTCCAAAGCACAAACATGTAATGCATGGTGTCCCCGATCAGCGTCGTGTCAACCAGAGCCAAGACAAGCGGCATGGATGTGCTCGTTCCCCTTGCATGTGTGCACTCAGACGTGATGCTTCCTTTGCAGAACTACCATGTCTGTCGTCCTGCAGCATTGAGGGTCAGGCGGGATCAAGAGGCCACAATCCCGTATGCATGTCATCACTGGACTGCGACATGGCATGAGGTCAGAACGATTGCTTGCATCTGGAGGGCATGCTACTGAAGCAGGTTGTCCCCCACGATCAGTCTTTTTTTGAGGGACCCGGCCGGACCGTAGCAGCGTGCCTCTCGCATGGAGGGACTCTCTCTCGGCGAGGGAGGTCTGCGGCTCCCCCACTTCACTTATGTCCCCCTGTCCGCGATCCGCCTGCGGGGTGGCTTGCGTGGCTTGCGCTTCCCCGTTGCTTGGTTCGGGGCCAAGTTGCCAAGCTGGGCCTGATCTCCGCTTGCCCAAGGAACGTCAAATCTCGTCACAAAAGTCTCCTCCATAGCTGCCCAACGAAGACGATCTTCTGCGACCGTCTGCCACTCCTCTCCCGCAACGGCGGCAACCTGTCTCTCGACGTCCAAGTGCGGGTTAAAGCGGCGGGAATGGCGATGTCCCGGGGATGCTCTGCTCTATCCTCCACCATTGAAGATTCCTCCAACGCATCATAGCCGAGGCGACTTTGTCCCCGCGGCTTGCATGCCCCGTGAGGCCCCACACCTGTTGCAGGATAAATGTCGACCATCGCTGAATCTCGTAGTAGTGGAGGAGTGCTCTGGCTTTGCGGAGAGTTCGCACGTTCCACTCGTGCCACTGTTCCCCGACCCTTCGGGAAGTCTTCAGCATGTTCCGCGCCTGGACGAGCTGTGTCGAGTTGGCGCATTTCAGAATGAAGTCCATGCAGCCCCACGTTTCGCACGCCCAAAGTGCTGATTGTCGCACGAGCACTGTATGCATCTGAAGTCTGCTCTTCTGAGGGGCGTTCGACATGAGGGTCCCCCGGTGTTTTCCGAAGGCCTTTCGTGCCCGTGTTTGCATCTCTGCCACAATGATGGACGGCTGGCCTCGGAAGTTGAGGGGACTGCCGAGCACGCGGATAACATGGTCCGCGCCCTTGGAAAGCACTGTCTTGCCTGCAACATGGAAAGGCGTCCCCCCTTCTTGGTTGTCGATGATCTCCGTCTTCACGGGGTGGATGTCAAGACCTTTTCTCGGCAGGTTTGTCCCCACACGGTTCAGCATCGTCTGGAGGTGAGTTGCAGACGTCGACCAGATATAGCTGTCGTCCATGTAGCATCCTCCATCTTCGGGGGGGGGTTCCCCGGTGGTGGGTTTGGCATGCTTAGCTTCTGCCAGTGACTTCTCCAGGTCCTTGGCGACGATTCGTCCAAAGGCAATAGGGCTATCAGGGGAGCCTTGCCGCACTCCATTCGACTGCGGGAGTTTGAAGTGCTCCTCCCGGAAGACAATCTCGATCTCATTGGCATGTATGAGAGATATCCATGCTCTGGCCTCCCATGGCATTCCCCCGTTGTCACTGACATCCATCTCGATCTGTTCTGCCATGGCCTCCTGGTATATGGAGTCGAAGGCTTTCCGTATATCGAGCTTGGCCAGAAACATCGGTAGTCCCCAGTCGTGTGCCACCCGACAAAGGCGCCTGAGTATAAGAATGAGCTCCACTCCTTGTCGCGATTTACGCGACCATTGAAGACGAGAGTCCCCCTGGAGCAAGTGGGAGGCACGGCCGATAATGAGCTGAGAGAAGGATCGAAGCAAGGTTGAACTGAGAGTGATTGGCCTGGTGTCGCTCCAGTCCCCCGGTGCAGTTGTCTTTGCCAGCAAGACGGTGATGCCTTTCTCAATGCAAGAGGGGATCGCCGCAGTGTACAACATGTCGTTGAACACGTACAGCAGCTTCGCTCGCCAGTGGTCGTCCTG